ACGTGCTTTCCCGTCCCTGTGTTTTCACTCCAGCTCTCATTTGAGATGAAAGCGGGAGAACACTTGGCAGCTGCCCCAGGCTGATAAATAACCTGAATCGTGGCAGGCTTGAAGGGTTGCCCAGTGCAGGGCGGCTGGCGGGGACGTGGCCTTTCGGGAGCCACTGCTGTGTCCCAGGGAGGGAGATGTGGGGCACAACAGGGGATGCTTGAGGAGCTCGCTGGATCAGGAACCTGCTTGACACAGGCTGACACCCGCGGGCTTCAAGGACCTTGTCCTAGAGCCATGTTCTTACTGGTTTCTTTCCTCTCTGGTGGAGAGCAGATAGCCCACAGCTTCACTGAGCAGATCGGGTCATTAATATTTCTTTAAAGAGAGCACAACTGTTGAAGCACTGCATCCATGTCACAATCCAGACCTGTTCTATGTATGGCAGAGCAATTCCGCGCTGTCTCCAGGCTGCCGGGCAGGAAAGCGTTAAGAAGGGAAGAGCGAGATGCGTCTTGTAATTGCACTGATGTCTGCGTCAGGTGTGCCTGCTGCAGCGGCTGCCTTGGCCGCTTCCCAGGGCTCGGCCTCATCTCTCCCTCCTGCTGTCCGCGGGGAAGCGCCTCTGACCCCGCCTGGCCTCGCTGCGGGGCGGCGCGGGCTTCGCTCGGTGCTGGCTACCGTGCCCGTAGCACGGCCGGGCTGCCCAAAGCCCCCGCGGCGCTGCTGGGCGCCGTCCAGGTGGATGCACATCCAGCACCCGTCCTGCTGCCTCCTGCCTGCGCCAGCCAGGCTCACCGTGCCGGGACCGGGGGGTCCCAGCGCCCAAAGCCACAGGCCGTGCTAGCAGCCAGCAAGAGCGCGATGGCTGAGGCGCCAAGGGGAGACACTTTGCATCAGCGTGAGGTTCCTGCAGCGCTGGCACCCCTTGATCCAAGGTGCTCTCTACAGATACCCTGTGAGACACCCAGAGCCCAGGCAGGAGGGCAATCCGCACGTGCGGAGATGGGGAAATGCTGGCTGGCATTTTTAACAGTCCTGCTGTCCACGTGGGTCACCTGCTGCAGCCTCGTTAAGGGCCCATTGCAGTGCGCAAGGAATGTGGTTATCAAAGGACTGCAGGTTGCCTTGAGGCAACGCGGGCCTCCAAGTCGGGGGGACAGGCAAGGGTAGAGCTTCAAAGCACCAACCATGTGAGAAACAGGCTTTTAAAAAAATTATTTTCAAAGTATACCAAATGTAGGTGACTCATACAATGATCAACTTCAGGGAAGCAGGGCTAGACCTGCCTCCCTGCAGCACAAGACTGTAGTCAGCTTCACTTCATTCATGAAAACGCCAGCTCAGAGCAGGTTCTCCTCTTCTAAGCGGGCGTCGAGGCAGTCGCTCTAATAACAGGCTCACTAGCATGGGAAGATCCCTGTGAGTCAGGAGCAAGCGGACTATGGACTGTGATTAGGGACTGCATTGCCAGCCCTGCCCGGGGAGGGGCTGGGTGACACCCTGTGGCACTTTCCCTTCATATGTCCTTTCTTCACACTGTCTCTTCATGACATGCCCTTGCCCCAGGCAACCCTCCTCTTGCAACCCTGCCCAACAGGCAGCTTCTCTCTGCTGCAGAAAGGCAGGCAGGCCCCACCTACGCGGTAAGGCTGCCCACAGTGTCTAATCAAGGACATCCAGACCTTCTGCACCACAGGGGACTCAAAAGCCACCTTGAAGGAAAAAGTAATTGGAAGGTCACCAAATACCTTCTTCTGGTGGCACATGGCTTAGCAGCCGCTGCAGCACAGCACATAGTGGAGCCAGTGACACACAAGGCAAGGCTTCACCCTTAACCTGCTCCCTCCTGCAGAATTTCCCCATGCGATCATGCACACAACACACCTTTTTTTTTCAATCAATGATTTTTAATTCACCATTTGACAAATATATGAATAGTTGATTTTAAATCTAGTCATCCTGATTAAACCTGGACTTTCAGCCCTCATTGTGCAATGAAATTGGGAAGGAAACTGGTTGTTTAACCGGCCCTGGACAGTGTGCAGTTTTCAGGTGTCAGCAAGACAACATAAACTTCTGTACCATGGCTGTGATGTACACTATGGGCTAAATGACCTCCAGAAGTCACTGACAACCTGAATTCTTCCACAGTTCTGCAACTGCCTGAAGTGCTTGCATGTTCAGGGAGAAGGAAGCACTGCTTTTCCTTCTGACCATTTAAGAGGGCCACATCAGGGTCCTGCTCATCACCAAAGATTCAGGGAAGAGGTAAGAAATTAGCAGCAAGAGTCAGAACTTGCACACCACCATGGAGGGCTTCCTACCCTCCAAGAGGCCATCGTATGTAGGTCCTTGATACTCTGTTCCAAGACGTGTGGAGGTCCTGGCAGCAGGGAGCTGCCGCAGGATGCAGCTCTGCCTCCTTCTCCTCCTAAGGGATGCTCAAGGCTCCCTGCCACCAAGTCTGCAGCCCGTCACAGCCAGTGCCCCGAGAGAGGGGCTGGCACAGGAGAGATGGGCTGCACAGCATCCCACCATGCCCAGAGGCCGGGGTGCTCTGTCCTGACTGATCCGGGCTGGGGGGGTGGCGGGGTAACACACCACAAAGTGCAAGGAAGGGAACCCCCCCACACACAGCCCTTCCCCTTGGAGCACTCGGGGAAGGCTCCAGACGGCCAAAAGCCACGAGCGTTTCCAAGTGCGATCGTTTTTCCATCAGCAAATGCTCCCACCGAGCTGGCAGCGCCGAGACATCACGCACCCTCGGCACTGCCACCTGCACTTCCCTCAGCACGGGCTGGCGACGGCAGCAACCGTGTCACCGTCCACCCTGGGACACTGCAGCTGGGCAGGGCATTTGGGGTGCAAGCCCTGTGGGAGGGCAGCACCCCACAGACCACGCCGTGGGCGCCAGCAGCCACCTCTGCTCTTCGTGGCTGAAGGCACCAGGATGTCTGGAACCCGCAGAGAAGCTGTCGCCCCTCACAGGCCGTCGGCGTTCAGGTCTGCGGGCCAGTACCGGTCGTCCATGTACTGGGCACTGTCTGCGACAGGGCTGGGGGACCTGGGGGGCAGGCTGGTGGCCAGCTCCTCTTCCCACTCCACCTCCACCAGCCTATAGAGCTCCATGGTCGTCTGTGCATCCTCCACTGACGAGTGCCCTTTGCAGCCGACCTGAGAGCAAAGGGGAGAAGGTCCTATTAGGAGGAGGGGCTGAAAAAAGTCCTACAGCCATGCCGTCTGCTTGCTCATAAGGACAAATGCTGGGGGGCTCGGAGACAGCAAGGGTCAGATCCAGCCTTACACAGGCCTGGATGTCTGCACTTCTCTGGGGGTTCCCTGCTTCACTGAGGGGCTGAATGGCAGCTCAGCTACAGGAGCTGCTCCCGCAGCTTGACTACGGACTGATGGGATCATGACTGCAGGGTCAGGGAGGCTGATCCAGGCTGGTGCTCACCTGGATCTTTTTGTGGAGCAGATGCTTGGCCAAGCTCTTCAGAGACGCATTGGCTTTGACAGGTATTCCTGCCTTCTGGTTCAGCAAAGGGATGCGGCTGGTGTCTCGGGTCCTGTCTTTCGGATGGAAGTACTTGAGAGCTTGGAAGTCATTGTGGATGGCGTGTCCTACCACAATCTTGTCTTTCAAGATCTTCAGGATCTGAAAGTGTCAGACGAGGTTAGACAGGTAGTGCAGCAAAAGAAACACAGAATAAGTATAAAATAAACCATTGGCATTACATTTATTTCTTTGGTTTTAGTCTCTTGGGTCCCAGTAGTGAGTGGTAACCAGTTTGTCCCATTACAGGGTGCAACTCAAGTCCAGGACAGCACAAGGCAGGTACGCAGTGCAACTAGAGCTAGAGCAAACCAGCCTGGCTTGGACAAGGCTTAGGTGACTCCTCCTTTTGTGCTTGTGTCTCTACACCAGAGCAGCTCAGCACGGGTCCCCTCATACCCCAGTTTGTGGCTGGCAGATTCCACGCAGCCCAGTTACAGCAGAGCATCGCTGGCAGCATTTCTAAACCCCTCCCCAGGCACAGGCCTGCTGGAGGGGCTCCTGCTGCTTGCCTGGGGCTTGTTTGCAGGAGTTCAGAGCCTCTCTGCCAAAGTCCTGGGTGAGTGGCAGCAGACACAAGCTAAGCAGCACCATTTTTATGATAAAAGCCCCCCAAGAGAAGGGCCAAGAAGAGGTGTTGTTGTGGCTAGGGACACACTATGGGCTTCTCCGAATCCTGGCAAAACGTGACAGTCATGCCAAGAAGGAATGGGGCAAATTCCCAGTCAGGGCTGTCGAGTTGACCCCCTCCCACCCTGGGGCCGCACGTCCCCGTGTCACCTCTGCCTGGGCAGCCCTGAAGGGAATGGCGCTCTTCATGTGCCGCCTGGTGATCCCGCTCCAGCGCGTCCGGTAGTCTGCGACGGGCAGCTCGGGCCGCACGTACTTGTCGTAGACGACGTCGCCCTCGTAGTTGACCACGGAGCAGCGCGCCAGCTCGCTGCGCCTGCCGCCGGGGCCGGTGCCCACCATCTCGCAGTCGATGGCCACGTACTTGGCCGGGCGCCGCAGG